TCTGGGATTTTAGTCGTTTTTTTCTTTTGTTTTTAAGAGAGAAAAAACATGAAGTTGGGTGGATAGAAAGGGGAGGAGGATCTGGGAGGAGTTATATGATAAAAATATACTATTAAAAATTCTCAAACAATAAAGACAAAAAATAAAGTTAGCACATGAAAAGAAGAGTAACACAGATTAGTACCTTTGCCCATCGCGTTCGCTCCTCACTGGTTAATGCTGCTATGCCGGGTCCCGCAGGCTCACTACAGCACTTCTTGTGGATATATGTCAGTTGTCTTACGGAAGATTAAAAAAGAAGCATACTCAAAAAGAGCACAGACAGGACACACAGGATTACAGAGGTCTTACACAAACACACACACACGCTAATATTTACTGTGTGTGTGTGTGTGTATATATATATGTATGTACTTAAAAAGTGATTATATATTCTACTTACACAAAAAGTATAATGGACAATAATTTATATTTAAAAATAAGCTTAGATGATCTCACTTAAACTTTGAAAACATGTGCATTTCCAGGGTTCAAATAAACAAATACCTTCTCTGTGAGAGAACTTGAAAAGCATTTTGGTAGTTAATCTTACAGCTGTTCTAAACCTGTGATTAAAAATTGTGTACACATATATAAAAGCATAGAGCTTACTGTGTGCTCACTTATTTGTGTTTTACCCAGAAACAGAAGTAATATATTTCAAATGCTTTTGTAAGTATTAATCATTCTATAATGCTGATAATTACATGGTAAAGAGTTAGCTATGTGTGGTGGCCCCTGGCCTGTAATTCAAGCACCTCAGAAGGCAGGGCAGCATGGCAAGCCTGGACAAGACAGCAAGACCACATCACAAAGAGAAAAAGAAAAGGAAAAGAAAGGAAACTCATGTTGTCTAAAGACTCCACTGGATGTGGATGGAGTGTTTCATCTATCTTTAAACATACAGCAGGTGAATAATAGGGTTTGCACGTGAAGAAATTTTCATTAGTCAAAAATTCTACAGTTTCAGTTTTTGCCCTCTCCCTCACAGCACATGCAAAGAAGCTACAACTTAAAAATATCCAGGGATCACTCAAAAGATTATTGTAGCTTAATAAATGTCATTAAGCACCACCAGTGACATCCTTCATTTGTGATCTCATCATTCAAAAATGGTGGGCACAGTTTCCTCTGTTTATTTGTATCTGTAACACTGATGAAAAAATGCTTCGCTTGCAACCAAAATTTCTCTTTATTTTCTTTCTTTTTATTTTGATTTTCAAGACAGGATTTCTCTGTGTAGCCCTGGCAATCCTGGAACTCGCTCTGTAGACCAGGCTAGCCTCAAATTCAAGATACCCACCTGCCTCTGCCTCCCTGTACCACCACTGCCTGGCTTTTAGCTTTATTTTCAAACTAATGGTATTTTATGAGCACCTAAGGATTCTTTACCAAACCACCTGCATCTATGAGACAATAACTTGCCCTGCCTCTCTTCCTACTTATTTTAGAGGGAAAAAAAATTAAAGAATACAAAAATAGAGCTCATGTGGCAAAGTTTAGTAAGTTGGATTGCATTCAAATTAAGGATTAGTTAATTTTAAAAAATGCTCTAATAGAGCAGAAGATCAAATCAGCCTCATCTCCTATTGTGTGTAGAACACATAAATCCAAGAAAGAGCTCCCATGTAGAGAACCACAGCATTCATTACCAGTTTGTATGCTTATCAGTAGAACTGTGCTGAGCACCTGTCCTTGTCTACTGAAGTTGAGTGAAACTCGCCAAATCCTCTCAAGTACAACCCAGACACCTAAGCCTTGTAAAAGGGTTTTCCCAGTAGCCTATTTCATGACTCTACTTTGACCTCTGTGGTGATGTACAGTATATGGGTGTTTAGCTATACTCTGGGTGTATTTTTCTATTTGTTTGTACTATTTAGTAAAAATAAATCATTTAAGGGTCTGAGAGACAACTCCACCTGTGCTTACTGTGTAAGCGTAAGGGTCTGAGCTCAGTCCCCAGCATCCACGTGTAAAACTAGGCATGGCAACACTTGCCTGTAACCCCAGAGCAGGGGTGGCAGTGGGGGAGGGAGTGACAGTAGATCCCTGAAGTTTACTGGCCAGCCAGTCTAGCCAATCACAGAGCACCAGGAACAGTAAGAGACCCTCTCTCAAAAGAGAGGGTGAAGAATCTGGAGTTCAGACACACACCCGCGCCCCAGAGGCACGAGTACATGCTTTCATATACACAGATTCAACACATGCAAATATATAAATTTTTTAAAGTCATTTAAATTACATACAGATATATAGAACTCAACGTTTATGAAATCATTTAGGAAATTTGAAATCCTTATAGATTAATATACGAAAGAACTATTGTTAATTTATGAGATAAGCCACTGGATGTGTTATGTGAGTACGTGTATATTTTACACATTTTACATTTTAGAGAAGCATACTACAATATTTACACTACAGGAATTCAGAGTAAGTCACTACGTTTTTACACACACTGTCTGAGATCTGCTTCAGGTACCCGCAGGGAACTGGAAGAAGAACAGAATACGGCTAGATGGACCGGACAGACTATGAGAGGAGTGGGTGTGTAAGTGCAGAGAAGGTGGGAGGAGACAAAGGTCACATGTGCTGTGACAGCTGAAAGGAGTCTGCTGGGAGTGAGGAAAAGGAGGACGGGAAAGAAGAAGGAAGACTGGGACAGAGAAACAAAAACAAACTTTGCTTGAAAAACGTCACGATGAAACCCTTCTTTATAAGCCAATACAAATTAAGGTATAGTTGAAAAGGTGATGATATTCATAACTGAAGAAGTCAGGAGCTGAGCATGTTGAGGTTTCAACTTGTGATTGAGTCTCTTTATGTTTTGAAGCTTTCTGTAATTCCGTCAACGGCGCATAATAATATATATAGCACACATAAACTTACCACAATTGATCTAGAAGGATGAAGCACATGCACTAACCTAGTAACCATAGTTACTGGGGTAGGAGATGGGATTGGTAATATATGAAATGTTTCCCTTTTATCCAACTAGAACATACACATATATACTTGTAAGATTGAAAAACTAAAAGTAGCTATTTTTAAGAACAGTAAGTATGAAACTCTTACTTTATAACTTAGGCCATTTGAAAGAAGGGCAATTCTGAACACTTGTTTTATTTTTGTTTTTGTTTTAACCCAAGCAAGAGCTTGAGACCTAAGGATATCCAATGCAGCAGTCTGAGACAGTCTCCTCAGATATTTCCCGGGGGTCAGGAGCCGGCTAAGGCCAGGGTGATCTGGAATGCCTTAACCCCGACCCTCCTGCTGCATGGACAGGCCCGTGTGCCAGCACCACAGGGCGGGAAAGTAGACGGGAGGAATACAAGGAATACAAGGCACAAAGGTTTAAACAGGAGAGCCAGGGGACACAAGAGGACTGGCCAACTCAAACAAATGCATGTGTGCGCGCACACCCTCGTGTGTGTGTGTGTGTGTGTGTGTGTGTGTGTGTGTGTGTGTGTGTGTGTACAATTAAAGAAACAGAGGTCATGAATTTGAAAATGAGCAAGGGGGGAGTGTGTACACACGGGAAGAGTTGGAGGGAGAAATGGGAAAATGACATACTTGTATCTTAATTTCAAAAAACAAAGCTGTTTTTAAAAAGCAGGTATGGAAAAGCCATCGAATCCTATTATCTTGTAACCAAATTAAAAACACAAAAATGAATTTGAAGGGAGATACCCACAGGCTACGTAATACTGGTTTTACAAGCAACAGGTCACTGACTAGAAGTCCCAGTGAGAGGTGTGGGGTACTTCTAGAGGAGCTGTTGTTCAGGGAGGTCCCAGAACCACCCCACCCCCCAAAAACAGAGTCTCTTGCTCTTCCTCTGGGTTGCTGTGCTGGACAGTTTTAGTTCATCTCAACACAACTGAGAAAATGCCCCAACCAGACTGACCTGTAGGATAAGCCAAGGTGCATTTTCTTAGTGACTGATATGGGAGGTCCAGCCCACTGTGGGTGGTACCACTCCTTAGTAGGTGGTCCTGGGTTCTATAATAAAGCAGGCTGAGGAAGCCATAAGAAGCAAGCCAGTAAGCAGAGCTCCTCCATGGCCTCTGCATCAGCTCCTGCCTCCAGGTTCCTGCCTTGAGTACCTACCCTGACTTCCCTTCATGAAGGACTGTGATCAGGACATAGAAGCTGAAATAAACCCTTTTTTCACCGAGTTGCCTTTGCTTATGTTGTTTTATTATAGCACAGAAACCCTAACCAAGACAGTTACCAACCAGAACCAGACAAGATCCTACAGCTAAAGACACCACAGACCTTGAATGCAAAACAGAGGAGTCAAGCTGGAACTGAAATATACCTCCCCCGCACCCGTCCCTCCCCAAACCACTGGCACCCCCGCCCCTCCCTCCCCACTGGCTAGCTCTCACAGGCCCTAGAGGCTACATGAGGCCCTGTGAAGAACTCGGTACTGCTGCTTAGTAAAAGGCCAAACTGTCTCGTAAGTATCTATCTTAGACCCATAGACAAATGCTAGTCTTAATCAGAGAAGCTTCTCTGCAGCGAATGGCAGTGACTGCAGAGACTCGGGGCTTGCCAGTAGGTTAAGAGTAAGTAATGGCTGAGGGCTCAGCCCTAAACAAGACATTTATACTACTCCCTGTGAGGCTCATGGAAAGTGGAGGAAGGAAGGAATGAATGTAAAAGCTGGAAGACAGGGAGAAGGGCCACAACACACCATCGGCTAACTGGAACACAGCCACCGTTCCAGTCATGAACTTAAAGCAGCTGTGGTTATCGGTACCGGGCCTACCAACAGGCAGCCATTAATGGGTGATGGGCTCAGGGGCCCTACTCTTTATTACCGAACTACTGCTGTGGTGGTTTAAATGGGAATGGCTTCATAGACTCATGTATTTGAATGCTTGGTGCCCAGTTAGTGGAACTGTTTAGGAAGGATTAGGAAGTGTGACCTTGTGGGAGGAGGTGTGTCACTAGGCTTTGTGGTTTCAAAAGACTATGCCAGGCCCAGTCTTTCTCTCTCAGCCTGTAACTTGTGATCAGATGTGAGCTCTCAGCTACTTCTCCAGAACCATGCCCCTGTCCCCCCACTATGCCCCCCACCACATGACAATGCACTGACCTCTCAAACTGTAAGCAAACCTCCAATTAAATGCTTTCTTCTCCAAGTTGCCTTAGACATGGTGTCTCTTTACGGCAACAGACTAGGAAGTAACTAAGACAACTGCCTTCTGACAGATTCTCGGAGATGGGGAGCTGGGTCTTCACTGTGCACCCACTGCTGAGCCCAGACAGCCCCAGTCAAATGCAGTGACAATGAAAGTCATGAACACGGAAGAGAGCTGTATGGAAAACGGAGGCTGACAGGGAGGCAAGGAGCAGTGGAGGCAGGGTCAGGACAGAGTACATTTATATGTGCACACAAGGGTCAGAGGCGAAGTCAGTTAAGATGCATAATTCCTTAGAGGTAGTTTAAAAACCTGAGGAGCTCTGGTGGAGTGATCAAACTTCCTTCGTGCAGCACGTCAAAGACAAAAGCTCTGCCTCGACACAGCACAGCAATGTGGGTGGGACAGTGGCCTTCACTCTCTGGAAAAGACACAGAAAACAGACTCAGTAAAGCTACATTCAGACAACAGAATATAATTCCTCTCAGTTTTTTATTGTGCGTGTTTGTGTATACGCGTTTGTGTGTGCGTGATATATAAAATGTATCGCCTGGACAGAGTTCTCATGGAAGAGGGAAGATGAGGAGACTGTAATCAGCATGAAGCTGTGCTGAGACAAGGTAAATTTGCTCTGCTGCTCCTGAGCAAGGTGACCAGACACATGACCGTGAACTGCACACTTCAAAATGCTGGGGGAAAGGACTTTGGTTTGCCATCAAGAAATAACAGATGTTTGAGGAGACAAGCATGTTTAACCTGACTTTACAATGGACACATGCATTAACATCATATGGCAGTTCATGAATATGTACAATATACAACTTTTATGTTTATACTTATTTGTTAGAGAACACAATTTAAGAAAAACTTCAAGGCTATAGATACAGCCTGCTTATGCCCGAGCCAAGACCAAGTGTGATCCTATAACCATAGGGAGGAAATCACTAGGTAACAGAATTTCAGTTACTAGGACATAAATGCATACTCTTGAAATGTGTCCATGTGAATCTTGAACTCAAGTTCAAGTATTTGTGTACTGTGAGAAACACCGCTGTGCTGTAGGGATTTTTAAGTCTTGGTTAAGAGATAGGACTGGGAAGGGGGAAGGGGTCCTGAGGAGTCCTGAAGAACCACTTGAGAGAACAACTTTCTCTTTGAGATTATTCAATGTTAATTTCTCATCAGATAATTCAATTGCTGACTACAGCTACACCACCCTGAACCATCCAAATCTCTCCGCTAACTGCAAAGAGGAGGAGGCTTGGCACACTGGGCCCGGGAGCGTTCAGTACTTGAATGGGAGACACTTTAACCGCAGCATGATCTAGCAACAATTCAGTCATCATGCCGGAGTGTCGGGAAGAATTTCCCCCGTCTATGTCCCTGCTCCTTGTCTCTCAGACAGGAGAGTGAAAAGAGATGAAAGACAAGACACACAGTACCACTGGAGCAAGTTAACTGGTTGGAATTTACTCACTGCTTTACGTGATTCACTGCTAGACCACCTCTTGTCAACCTCAGGACTTCCTCAGTGCTGAGGAGATAGGTCTTCTTCCTCCTCGGGATATTTCCAGGCCATTTCTTCCCTCTGACCCCTTCAAACACCCCCAGATCCTTTTATGTTTACCACAGATACCCTTTATTACCATCATCTACTGACATCCTTTCCAAAACTTATGGCTTGAAAAGAAAAAGAAAAGAAACCCCATACCCATTTAATCAATAAATAGTTGGAAGAATGTGTGACAGGAACTTATGAGGGTATGTGAAAAGAGATCTGAATGAGATGAGAAAGTAGGCCATGGGAATTCTGCAGGGAGAACCAGGCAGAGGGAACAGTAACCGCAGAAGTATTAGGACAAAAGTGAACTGGTTTGCTTAATGAAGAATGCTCAGTGAACCTTCAGCTGAGGTCAGGCTGAGGGAGACCATCTGTGACTCAGAGGGGCTTCCAGTGTTAAGCATGATGGAAAGGAAGCTAATAGATGGTTTTATATAGTAGAAGGGTAATATGATATGTGTAGTACTTTAAGAAGGTCCCTCCAGGGGCTACCTGAATGGATCAGTGGATAAAATGTAACACAGCCAGATCCGTTATTAGGTAATGAAAGTGGTTCCTGTGAGAACCACCTAATGGAGGTATCATGTTGGTTGGTTTGTGGTGTTTGAGACAAGGTTCCATTATGCAACCCAGGCTTGCCTGGAACTCCCAACCCTGTCTCAGTCTCCAGGATACCAGAGGACAGGCCTGCATCATCATGCTTTGCAGGGATGATGGTTTTAACTACGATGTGGCACTTGTAGGAAAAAAACCATTTCTGTTCTTTTAGTATGAGAGATGACACAAGTTGGAGCAATTTGCTAAAGCAAGGAAACTGGTGACGCAGTGGAGAGAGAGAGGAACAGACGGCAGAGAAGCAAAAGGAGGGGACCTAACACACACAGCGGTGTCCTGAGGACAGGCAAGTTGGCCAGGGTTTGTTCTCGTTTGCTCTCTCTGTGGCAGTACTGTGGGTTGTGCTCAGGGCCTCAACCTGTGCTGACCAGTGCTTTATCACTGAGCTACACCCCAGCTTCTCCTTCATCGACTTTTCCAAAAGGTACGTGAAGCACACAAGTGTGCTAAAATGCACTACGAGGAAGCAGGGTGGGCTGAAAAAGTTACCAAGTGACTTGGAACAACACAACTTTATGATCTCTGGGGTTTGAAGGGTGAATCTGAAGTATGTTTCTCTATGATAAATGAAGGTGTGGCTTTGTTCCCTCCTGTGGAGACAAAGGATTTTCTTCCTCAGCTCCGGAGTCCCCTTCTCCATCTTCAAAGCCATCCAGCGAAGATCACAATCTGTCTGTACTGCCATCTCTGTTCTTCTTCTAAGAACCCGTGATTAGTTCAGCATAACCTCATCTCCAGGGCAACTGACTGACAACCCTGACCTCCTTGCAGGGGACTGGGACACGGCATCTCTAAAGGATTCTCCCTGCTGCTGGTCGACCTTAGGTTAAAGATCAGATTTTTCTGTATTTGTTAAAAATAAGAAAACAGTTAACTAGCTGAGAATGAGGCAGAAAGGCAAGAAGCAGTCCTATCTTTAAGAGAAAGAAGAAATTGACAATTATAGCAAGATGTTATGGGCCCTCAGGAGAGGGAAGAATACAGCTGTGTAGAACAGTAAGGCCAGGGGACTACACATCACAACGTGGACATAAACACAGCCACATGAACGCTGATGGAATTATGTGGGTTCCACAGGTGACCCAAGTGACAGCGGAAACTGCAACATCCGGGCTGACGGAGCTGTGAGCTGACAGGGTCTGGGACATGTCTGCAGGGAAAAGGCTTTACTGAGGAGTAGAAATTAAGGTTTTAATTTAGGCAATGAGATTGTAACACATAACTAGAAGCTAAAGTCATCAAGAATATTACTGAGCTGCTAATGGAAGAAAGAGTTTCACAGAAAGTTTCTGGTAAATTTATGAAAACCCAATTATCTAAAACAGTATATTAGAAATCATAGCAAACCTCCCCCAAGTCCCAATGCGTTTCCAAAAAAAAAAAAAAACCAAAAACAAAGAAATTACCTATGTCCTATGTTTTTTACTTACCAGTCCTAAAGTAGTTCATAATTGAATCTCTAGCAACTCCTGGAATCTTGCAGGTAGAAAACAACATTCGGAACTGGTTCATGTCTAGAGGAGTATTTCCAGATTTGTGTACAGGCAATTTCTCGCTATTAAAAAAGCATTTTGGTCAAAAAGTCATTGTTAAAACTCACTATAAAGCCATCACGACTATATCATCCTTCACTGAATAACTCAGTTAGGTTGACAGCATTTGCTTATTTCCCACAACGGGCAAGCCCAAGCTCAG